GCCAAAGAAACAATACGTTATCGAACGCGATGAAATATCGCCTACACCGCCACTTCTTCTCCTTTCTCAAATTTTGCGTTTCCACCAGCGCCATCTTCGTGGCCTCGGCTGCTTAACGCCATATTTGTGTTTGCCTGCTGCCGCTTCTCATAAAGGAGAGGGAGAGAGCAATTGGGCCGCAACAGCGCACTGTCTGTGCAACTCACCGGACGCGATAAAGTTTAGAGCAAGAGGGATTGCTATGTAAATTTAACGAGAAAACATATGCGTTAGCCAGAGGCGGTGTGGGGAGCGATGAATTTTGGAAAAAGGGAGCAGGCGGGGCAGGGGTGGGGTTATGCAGGTAGGTAGGTAGGTAGAGAACTGATAGGAATTAGAGAATTCGCTCTAGCGTTTCTAACCCTTCTGCGTGCCATTGCTTGACACAAAATCTTTTGCGGTTTGCTTTCGAAGCCTATATGCGATGAAGAGACCGAGTATACTGCGCGCCAAAGGACCCGGAAAGTTAGCCTCCGCCTATAATGAAATTTACAAAAAGAGTATATGGGTATTGGAGAGTGCGGTCGTACAGGAAACCCCCCAGCGTCAGATAAATCAAGGCATTCGATGCCTGGAAAGACGGCTTGCCCATGCTCTGGGCTGAGGAGTCGCAAAGCTATAGATGCGGAGTACGGACTTGCAGATAATGACGTCGGTATGGATGTGTGTGGTTAACACAGAAAAATCTCACGACGAGAAATCAATCTAGGCAATGAAGGAAGGAGAAGCAAAGCACAAAGGAAACCGAGGGCAAACGGAAATATATTTTCTTTTTAAAAGTTCGTCCCACCAGCGCGAGTTGCGGCTAAATTCAGAAAATTGTGCGCCCGCGAGCGATTAGGTCATCGTTCGGCGCCAGAACCGGGCTTGGCGCGCTCGGGATATCACGTGGGTGTTGTCATCCTGACATGGGCAGAAAACGGTGGGAGTGAACAGCAACCACGGGGTTGAATTAACAATAAATAGCCTGGGGTAGATAGCTAAACAATATACCTTTGGATCTGGCCATAGAGAAATGGAACAAAAAAATAATAAAGAAAAGTAAAGTATACATGACCACTGGCAGTTACCACCGAATGGGACAAGGAAGAGCCGGGAAGAAAAAAAAAGGTTCGGTGTAAGTAAGGAAAGGTAATGATGAAAGATTAAATATCCCCGGGAATCTCTGCATGCGGAAACCGAGTACGAATAGGAAAAATGCCAAATGCATAGACAAACGATGGTCTTTCACTTTTATCAATCCTCGTCAAAGATTTGGGAACGTAATTCTGCAGAATGGTCT